AGTTACTTTGCCTTACTAAAAGCCACTGTGTGCAAGATTTTCTTTGCATTAAGAAAAAGAAAACGCCCCACTCCTTCCTTGTTGTTGAAGAATTTATCGTCATCCCCAAGCAAACTTTCTCCTTCAGTGTAAAAACTTAGTTGTGGAGGTCGAGAGGCAGCCCGGAAGAGAGGGGGCGGTGAGGGGGGAGGTGAAGGGAGGGAGTAGGATAACCTGGGTTTGGGGTTAGCTTCTTCCCAAATCCAAGAAGGTTCTGACCTCAAAGGCTAGTCCCAAAGGGGTAGCAAGTTGACGAGCTCTTTGGAAGCTAGAAAGAGCCCTAGAGAAGAGGCGCGGAGTGTGTTGCCGTTGCTGAAGCAGGCGTTCCCATTTCCAGATCATATTCCCCATAAAACCTAAAGCCAGACCCATCGCTAGGGTAAGTCCCCATTTCCCTGCGAGAAATAGATTTGTTTCCGATGTGGAATCCAAATCGAGGTCTTTGGTTCGGGTTCAGGTGATGTGAGCAAGGCCGAGGCTTTCGATGACTCTGGGGAATAGCAGCCTTAGCAGATTACTTTTAAAAGAAAGGAGTCTAAATTGTAACTATTTCTCTCCAAGCACAACAGTTTTTGAAACGCCAGAGACAGAAAATAGTGGAACTATAGGGTGAAGACAACTTCAGGGTTTAAAAATACTTTTGTTATTTCTACTTTTTAAGGATTAAAAAGAGCAAGAAATATCCTAGATCTTAACGAGGCAGTAGACTGTGATTATTCTCGACGCCTCAGTTTGCAATCAAATTTTATTATATGTGTATTTTCCCAAGAGAAGTTAAAAGGGACTGGAATTGGCAAAAGAAGTCCAGGGAAACAACAGATCATTGGCCACAAAGAAATCACAGGAAAACTCAAAGAGCTGGGGTTCTCTGAAATATGGCATTTTTGTCTCACTATCTGGGCCAAGAAAGTTTTCAATAAATTATTTTTAAAGAAATCCAAAGCATTTCTTCTCATAAGGTGGAACTCGGGGTACCATTTCTCAAGATTTTTCTTCTGTCCTTGCAAAAAAAAAAAGAATGGGACTGTCAGTCTTACGTTTTTAGACTCTGGTGTACTTACAAGTATGGCTAAGGAGATTTTTTTTTTCAAATCCAGAATGTTGGTCATTTTAGCCAAACACCGCCTTGAAAACATTATTCTATTCCAGGGAGCTCAGCTGAAATAGCTCAACTTTCAAAACTTCATCCAGCATCATTAAAAATAGGGCTCGGTTTTTTTTTGTTTTTTTTTTTTTGGAGTATTGAGGGTTCTTAATCCTCAATTGAGATTCTAGATAAACAAAAGGTAAACAAATTTAGCTGCGCAAGTCTTCTTGGAAAAATAAACCCAGCCATTTTTAAGGAGGAATAGAAGAGGTGTCTGCCTAAGTATTTTTCTGCAGCTATGTGCGGAATGATAATACCTGATCTACTCAATTCGGCTGACTATCTGAGAATGAACCACTTGTTAGGTGACATTGTTGCTAACATTTTGCTGAGCCATTTAGATACATAGATTTTAAACAATTGATAAAACTGGTACCTGCCCGTGCTGCAAACTCTCATACAGAGTCCTTGCTGTAAGGGTAACCCATTAGATTTTTATTGGGATAGTATCTGTTCGGGTTTTCGCACTAATGTACCGCACTGAAAAATTAAACAACCTGGAGGCAAGTTTGTTAGTGAGAAAAGTCACCGTTTTAAGTGGTGAGCCTTGGACTAGACGCCATCTCTCTAAGGGTTTTCATATACATAACTCTGGAAATAGCTCCACCCAGGAAATCCTCCACTGCCCAGAGGGCCTTACCCACAGGAATTGTACTTAATACAAATCTATCCTGGGTTCATCTGTCCCTAACTCAATGGCTGCATCAAGTGAAAGAAATGAGTTCCCCACAAGTTTCATTAAGTGATAATAATAATTGAGAGGTTTTCTGCTGGGTTTTATCCAAACTCCCATGTTGCAACAACTCTAAACAACCAAGGCTTTTGCTCGATCTTAATCCCAGTTGAACTGCCGGTTGCCCTGTGGTTAGCCGAGGTCTATTGCAGCTCTGCCTACTGTTTTCCGCACTGCTGCTTGAGCTTGCCCCCTTCTTCCTGTGCCCATATCAGTATCTCGCTGCTAGTCTGCCACGTTCTCTGGGCAGTTGGCTAGCTTAGGCAAATCTGTTTTTAGAAAGACGTCGGGAACATTTTCCCTCCTCCTACTTCGCAACTGCCATCTCTACCCCACGGCACGTCCCTAATGACAGTTACTTTATTTTTACACCAGCTAGAGGCCAAAGTTTTTCAAGCGTACCTACTCCAGACTCTTGCTAGGATAAGGCATTTGTTTGGTTTTCCCTGGAGGAGAAGAAGGCGGGCAAACTACCGGCGCCTTCTCAACCCCTTTCCCCAGCTGCTCCGTCACCCATCCGCTATCCTCCTTCCCACTAGTCTTGGCGAGATCTCGGGAAAAGCCGCTAGTTCTGGTCTGCTCGGGGCTCTGGGAGCTGGGTGCTTTCGTTTTCCTTTCGCTCCTTTCGCTAAGCAGTTTGGAAAGCCGCGGAAAAGTCTGTGGTGGGGGGGGAGTAAATGGAGAGCGAAGAAAAGTGTTCTTTGGCTGCAATAAAGTAACTCTGGTGTTGGGGAGGGGGAGGGGAGACGAGGGGCATTAGGAGAGGAAAATGTGGAGGAGCCAGGAAGAGTGAGGTTGGCGGAGTTGGTCTAAATCGCTAGAGCTGATTGTAAAGACTGACTGACCCTGGAGGGTGTGTCATAAAGCCATTGTTTCTTTTGTGACAAAGAAAAATACAACTCCACTCTTTTTTTTTAATGTAAGAAAAAATGTTTTGTGAAATGTAAATGCGACCGCATGGCAACGAAAATGTCCTCAATACAGCCTAAGGGCGAACTGTAAAATAAAAGGAATGGGATAAGGGAGAAAGTGATAGTAGAAAGGTCCAACTGAGGCCTATTTGCTAATTACTTAGAAACCAGGACAGAAAGGAGGTAAACATTCAGGAAGAAAAATCTTCCTTCTGCAGCAGGGGGAAAATCATGAAACCAAGTTAGGATTAAAATCTGCTCAAAATTCTGACTCATTTGCAACAGGTTCCACTGAGCCTGAATTTGAAATCTCAGTGTAAAGTATTCGAGTGTAAAGTACCCCACCTCATAATCTCCCTTTATTTTTTATACCGTATCTCGATATAAAAAAGAAACTCAGTAAGTTAATTGAACCAATGTTTAAGGTTTTCCCCCTTAATTTTTTTTTTTAAAGTTACACAAATATCTAACAAAAGTAACAAAACCCAATAGCAACTTCTCGGTGACCTGAGTCTGGAACTTGAAGATCACTCTACAGGCTCAGACAAGTCCAGTCCCCCAGCTCGCCTTGTATTGCTTTACAACCTGCAACCCTCTCCGACAAAGTGAGTACGGTGCTCTTTCAAAGCCCCATTGGTCCCCTCTACACTAGGGCAAGGAGACGTTGGTACCTTCCTAAAACAACCTTTAAAAAAAAAATCACATAACCTTTCCAGCAAGTTGTTTACCATATTGCCCAACTGCCCAAAGAGGAAAAAAAGAGGTCCTATGTGTTTCCTGACCTTCTTCACGTGTCCACCTCATCCCTGCTTTCTTTCGGGATCTGGCTTGCGAAATTATCCTAGTACAACTCTAAGAAAGTTAAAATATGATATAAAAACAAGTAAATGAGTAGGGGACCGGCTGGAAGCTGAGATTGTAAATAACACTTAGAAAAAGTTAATTTTACTTAGTTCCATTGTAAGGCCGCCTCTTGTGTTTGTAGTATTCCTTAGTTACACTGTTAAGACTTTGGCTATAAGCCAAAGAAGTGCTCAGTTTCATTTTGGGGCATGGTGCAGTCTATAATTTCGTGACCAGGTATAAATAGAAGGTTCACATATTTTTCTTACAAGGCTATTGCCATTAACTCTTCAAAAACTCTTTCGACACCTGCCGGCTTCAAACACCTTCCAGCAACAGGAATTTCAATTCCTTAGTGGCACCCAGTAGGTGGAAGTAAACTATGGCAAGTTGTCACAGCACCTGTGAAGACAAATCTTTTCCGAGCCCCTTTTTAATGCCTGAGCCTGTTGCCTTAAGTGTGATTACCATCTCCCGATAATGTGCAGGCGTGTCGAGATCATGACCCAGGGGCAGCCAGGGTCTTTTTTTCCCCCTTCTTTCTACGTAGACATTCGTCCAAGAGTATGAGAAAGAACTAGAAAGGTTTGAAAGATAGACAAATATATACACATGCAACGCACCGACTTAAGTCATATTTAATGCACGAACATGAATATACCCTGGGGTGTAGACGGTGTTTCTCTGGAGGGGTAGAAACAAGGACACATGGGAACGCACAAATACACGTAAGCAAGGTGCCAACCCAACGGGGAACCGATCCCGTTTGCTAAGACGCTCTGAAATCGGGCAGTAGGGGAGACGTTTGGGTACTAAGGAGTAGTGCAGGGAGAGGGTTCAGGGGAAGGGAGGGGTGGGAGGCAGTTTCTCTTTGCGGCTGCTACCGCTGATGGCAGGCGGCGCGGGAGCACTTGGGCTCTGGCAAGCTGGTTTTCCCTGGCAGGCACGTGACGGGGTTTGGCCGGATTGCTCCCGGGGCTGCAGGAGTGGGAGGAGGAGGAGGAGGCGAGGAGGAGGAGGAGGGGTGGGGGGCTGTCCTGTTGTGTACTTAGGTCGTGTGCTGGGGCTTTTCTCTCCTAGGAGAAGAGAAGGGGAGAGGAGGGGGAGGGGCCACTGCTCCGCCTTCTCCTTTTCGCAATGTTGACGCAATCTATAAATAGTGGAACAAAAGGACCAACTTCCTCGGAGCTTTGCTGAAACTGCACAAAAAATACCGTCGGGGGGTTCCCTCCAGCGGGGCAGTGGGGAGGGGAGAGCGGAGCGCGGGCCCGACCCGGGCCGCGGGGGACACCTGGCTGCAGGCGCTGCCGCCTCCTCGCTTTGTATGCGCGGCAGCTCGAGTCCCGGGGCCAGGGGCTCTGCAGCTGCCTCCCTCGCTCGCTCCCTCCCTCGTCCGCCCGCCCGCGATCTTCGTCTTCCTCGGCTGACAGGTCAGTAGGTGCCGCCCGCTCCGGTGTCCTGTGCGCCCAGCCTCGGGGAAAGGGAGGGCAGCGGGGCAAAGAGGACGGGAAAACCGCCTCCATCCACGCGCACCGCGAGCCCAGGGCGGCGGAGAGGGACGCGGGCAGCTCGAGCCATGCGGGGGCTGGGGCCCGGGAGCCGCACGGCTGGAAGGTCGGCGCGCTGGGGAGCCCAGCCCCGCCCCGCCCCGCGGGCCCGGCTCGGAGAGGAGCAGACGGTGTCTGGCCGCCTCTGCCCTGCTCTGAGCCCGCACTGGAGCTTTCCTACACCCGGAGGAGACTGGAGCGGCGAGAGACAGGAGAACCGCCCAGCCGCACACGCCCGAGCTCCGGAGCCTCCTCACCCCGAGCGCCCGCCGCTGGGGGGCGGAGGGGGCGGGGGACCTGGCCGCCGAGCGCCCGGACGCGCAGCTGTGGCAGTTGCTTCAGAGTGGGGGGAAGGAAAGGGGGGGAGGCAGGGGGGACGGAGGCGGGGCGGGCGCTGTTGACAGCCGGGCCAACGAGGGGAGGGCGGAGGTGGGAGACGGAGGTGGGGGTGGGGGAGCCCACGAGCGCGCGCGCAATGGGGTGTGGGGGTAATGGGAGGGAAAGAGTTGAGGACACGTGATGGGCAGACGCCCCCGCCACAGGCTGACAACGGTGGGATGACGTAATGGCCCCTAACAACGGGAGGCGGCACTTCCGTCCCCCTTCCCCACCTCCTCCGCTACTTTACTGCGCTAGCCTCCGGCGGCTGCCGTTGATTTGCTAGGTCTTTGGAGATGAGGGTATTTCTCTCTGCACCTTCGCCCCAGGAGAAGAAAATGGCAAACCACCTCAGTATCTTTGCCAAGAACACCCCACAATGGGGTCACCGAAAGTCGGACACCACTGTAACGGCTACCACCACCACCACCACCTTCCCTCCAGCCTCCATTCCCAGCTTAGTGTCCCCGTTTGGCCTGAAGCCAGGGCATTTTTTTCTAACCCTCTCCCCTGCAGGGCCGCCCCCTCTCGCGTTCCCGCCTCCCCATTGTGTGAGCGGCAGTTCGGGGCGGAGGCCGGAGCCGGCCCCCTGCGGCTCCGCGTCCAGCCCGGCCCCTCCGCACTCTGGCGGCCTAGTCCCGGCAGCTTCGCTCTCGGCCGCCGCTCGGCGCTGTTGCCGGAGCAGCTAAGTGCGGGGGCGAGCTCGGAGGAGCCCCCTTCGCCGCCGCGTCCCGCGAGAGGGGAGGTGCCCCACTCGGGCCGGGCCTCCTGGAGGTGTTGTAAGGGCTTGTCGAGGGCCCCGGGGGAGGGGCGCGCTGCCCCTCCTCTCGGGGGGAAGCTCAAGGCTTGGGGTGACTCAGCGCAGCGGTAGCTATTTATAGGTTGGGTCGTTGTGGGCAAGAAAGACTTCACCCAAATCTGTCCGTTCGATGCGAAATAACTCCCTTAAGCAAGAATTGAACGATTTAACTTATAGAAAAGCAAATGTTTGGCTGCAGGGGTATGGCGCAGAACCTGTCTTTTACATAAACGCAAGTTATTATGGAACTGCTAAACTTTTTGAGACGTTATTAGAGATAGGTGAATGTGGGGGGACGCGGCCAAACGCTCACTGCACGTTCCCTTTGGTGTGCTTGTGCTACCTTGCGAGCGATATAATCAGGGAAAGACCCAGCAGTCCTCTTAAGGAGGTTCTGAAATAACAGGAACAATGTTATTTACTGCCTAGTTACACCAAATTTGTCTGCTGGAAGACAATGAAATCCAGATCTGAGGTCAGAGGCTAATTACAGAATTTGTAAAATATATTTCTTAAACGTTACCATGTGGTGCTTAGGTACAAAGTAACTGTTTAATTCCTATAGGGTACTTGAAAAACAATGAAAACAACATAATTCCTACAAAAGCTATGACAAGAAATTCTTTGAGGATTTATAGAGCTAAATAGTATCTTGAGGAATAAACCTATCACTTCCAGGAGCTATCCTTTTTTAAAGTGGTACAGCAGGTACCACAAATATTTTAAATTTTCAGAAATACGGTGAAAGTTGCAGATACTTAATAACTGTGGGTGAATTTTTCTTTACTCAATGGCTGTTATTTTATTTCCTCCCATCCCTTTTATGGGAAGGAAAGATGGGAGAGGAGGAGAGGGCACACTAAGATCCTACTAGGTGTCAGTCACTGTACTAAGTAAGCACTTTACAAATATCTCACTTGATCCTCACAACAACCTTGTGAGGTAGGTGGTGGTTTTATCCCCCATTTTACAGTTGAAGAAACTGAGGCAAACAAGTTAAATGACTTGCCCTGGGTCATGCAGCTAGTGTCAAGCTTAATTTGAATTCAGGTGTTCCTGACCCGAAGCCCAGCGCTTTGCAGCGCCACCTAGCTGAAATACAAGGAAATAAAAGCTGGTACAGAGAAGCGCCCTCATTCAAATTTCTCGACTTCGAAAGTTTTCCTTTAGGAAATGGGACTTGGGGATGTCCTTGGAAAAGAAAAGGGAAATACTCTTCTGGATAGGGAAATTGATTTTTTTTTATCTACCTGGATAAAGAAATACAGAGTCTGAATTAAAAGTGAGACAAAAGTAGCTTGATAAAAAAAATTTATTTCAGAAAAAAGTCTGCAAATAAATGAACCTTACTTTATGAAACAAGAAAATAGTCCCTAATTAGGTATATGCCAAGATTCTTAATATACTTTCAAAACTAGCAGAAGTTCTGGTTTTTAGGTGCTCCCTCTCATAGCTGATAGTTGCTGTTACCAGAACCTGAACATGAGGCTCATTAATAGTTGATCAGCAGTACATTTGTAGCATTTACTGGGATCTTGATATTCCTCTCCTCTACTCGGAGACTATCCCCACATTCATATTTTAAGATACGTGCTAGAGGTAGCTTGAACCTGAATTGTTATGTTTCTACTGTGAACACTCGTAGACCTCAGAAACTGGTACACTATTGGCAAAGCAGGGCTGGATTTCTTTGTTGATTTTCTAGAGTTAAGAAAGTGATAGAGAAATTATTAATATTGCAGACTAGACTTAAGTATATTCTTCCTGGGAGAGCCAGTTATAAAAATTTACCAGCTCGTACTTAGACCATGCTTCTGCAGAACTAAGACTTAAGTGAAGGAAGGACTCATAAAATGATAAAACTTTCATATGAGGTCAAATGTATGTGCAGTCTATTGAGTCCAGTATGCCGATGTGGCACTACAAATAGCTTTGGGTGATAGAATGGTTCATCTCCCTTGTCAATCCCAACACAATTCCTTTAATAACATGTTGGCACAGTTACCATCATGAATTCTTGTTCTTTAAAAAATTCTATCTTTTGTCTTTATGTAGCCTTCATTTCCCAATACCCACAGACCCATCTTCTAAAAAAAAAAAAGCAGTTTAGCAAAAAGAACCAACACATCAACTGAGATGACAATATATGCAATGTCTCTTGATGTAGCAGAGTGGAGGAAAATGCGCTCTTACCTCCTTTTAAAGGCCAAGTCTAGCTATCATATGTACATGGTTAGTTTATTTTTTGCTGTTTCTGGTTCCAGTTCACCTTAAATAAGTTGATAAGTCTCCCCAAGCTTCTCTGTATTCTTCATTTCTATCTTTTCTTACAGTGAAATAACATGCCATTGCATTTCTTTACCACAACGTTTAGCCACTTGCCATTTGAGGAGTGCCTGCTTTGCTACTCCAAAAAAAAAAAAAAATGCTGCTATAGAATTCAGACCTTTTTGAGATCATTTATATTTTATACTGATACTACTGGAGGGTTAGTCTGGAATCTCAGTTTTCTCCTCTGTAAAATGGGAATGATATCTGTGCTCCCTGACTTGAATGAAAATATCTGTTAAACACTTTGCAAACTTTAAAGTGTTATATAAATGTCTATTGACTTTAAAAGCTGGAAAAGCATACTGTCCAGTGTGTAAAATAGTACTTCATTAGTCATTGGATCATAAATTTTTAACATAAAAGTCATCTAGCCTACCCCTTTTAGCAATCAATTAGCAAGTATTAAGTGCCTCCTGTGAGCCAGGCACTGAGGATACAGGTACAAAGCATGAAATAATCAACGTTTGAAATAAGCTTTCATTTTGATGGGAGAGACAACTACATATGAAAATGTGTACTGTAAAGTTAATAAATACACATACACCAAATGTTAACTATAAGTTTACTTATGTAGAGAGAGAGAGAGAGTTCTAGCAGTTGGGAGAGATGAAGAGACTTCATAAAGAAAAGTGGTATCTGAACATTTCATTTTCCAAATTAGGCAACTGGGCCTAAAGTGGTTAAATGATTTGCCCAAAGTCACAGCCAGAATTTGAACCCAAGTCTTTTGAGCCAAGTCTAACACTTCCCTTTGTACTACACAGCCCTTTTGAGAGTCAAGGGATGGGTCTAGCTAGTTAATTTCAGACCTTTAGCAAAATTTTCAAAAACTTCCCTCTCTCCCATCCTGTTTCTCATACCTTCAATGTATTATTTGAAGAAAAAAAAAAATCTTCCCCTTCCCCCCCCCCCCAAAAAAAAATCTCAAGCAAAATGTTGACTTGTAAATCCTCAGTTCAGGGACTGTTTAGGCAGGTTGTCATTTGCAAAGGCATCTCTACTAAATCCTTTGATTTGAAAGACTCTTTCACTTCTGTCAGAGCTATCTGTCCACCCTGGCATTAGCAAACATTCCTTGTCATCAGAAGCATCAAGGACTTAAGTGACTTGCCCAGGGTCACACAGCTAATGTTATATGTCTGAGGCTGCATATGAATTCAGGTCCTCCTGAATCCAGGGCTGGTGTTCTGTCCACTGCGCCACCTACCTGCCCTGCATCAAGGACTTTTTAGGTTTGACTGTTAGTCCTAGTGAGATAATAGGACCACAGATTTAGAGCTTTGAGAGACTTCAGGGGCCATCTTGTCAGCCTTCTAATTTAACAAGGAAAACTGAGACCCAGGGAGACCAAAGGACTTGCCCAAGCACTCACAAG